ATGGGTGTCTTTTGTTTACATTTATAAATCATAGTGCTACATTCATTCTATATAGGTGTAGATTATATGTAGGAGCCTATTACTTTATGAACCAGATAGTGGAGTTGACCTAAAATTTTATATTTCATGCTTCATACAATGGCAAGCTTAGCTCATCCTCTCTCAGTTAATTGGCATTTTCTCAATGCACCTTTCAACATAAAGCCCAAGAAGAAGAGGGGTGTCTGGCTAGCCATGGAAATTTGACTATGAGGGCAGTCCCCAAGGTAGGTATTTTGATTTTTTGTAATGTCCCCGTGGTGCATGGGGAATTTTGGCACTTCGTTATAAATGACCACACTCACTTGCCCCAGTGTAGGGATTTTGATACTTTTTACCAATTTCGGTGTCCTGACTGGGGTGGCAAATTTGACAATTTTTTGGACAGAAAATATCAAAATCCCCAAACCTTGCTTGACCCCTCCTCCTGACCCCGTCTAGTGCATACCATTGAAAGCTACATACTCACACTGCAGGGATATTTATAGTTTTTTCCTCAGTCGTTTCTTCCGCTGTGGTAGCTTTGGCGGGTTATGATCATTCAAATGACTTAAAATGCTTTCGGCCTCGTTGAACATCTTCATCTTTATCAATTCCATTGACATTCCTGTACGAATTGAGGTTGTCGACTCCACGTTTCGGATCTCATGGAAATGGCAAACAAGATTTTCCATTAAGTAAGTAAGTAACTTTATTTAACCACATATCGCACATGAGCGAATAGCTCGTTTCAATGCAAATGTGCCATAAAAATTGACATAATTTACATGTATAAGTAATGAGTAATAGGTAAGAAATAAAAATTAATTATCTAGAATGAATAATTGCTATTAGAGTAATCAATAATTTAATAAAAGGGAATATCGGTGACTAGACTATTTGTTTACAAAACAAACAGCTGCAGTCAGGATGAGGACAACTGTATGTCTTGCAAATTTTTCCTAAATATAGAAAGGGATTCCGACATCCTTATTTTGTCTGTCAGATTGTTCCATTGTTTGCTAGCCTGGTACGTAAAAGAATGCTGCATATAAGATGAGGTTGGTCTTGGAAGAACAACCTTAAGATGGCCACGTAGGCTGTAACCATTACTTCGCAGAGAAAACATTTCCTGAATGTAGTTCGGTGTCGGTTATGAATACTTTTATATACAAGTATAAGTGCTTGTTCTATGCGTCGATGTTCTAAACTTTTAATATTTGCAGTTTTCAATAACTCTTCGTAAGCAGTCGATTTAGAATAATTGAGAAGAGTCCTCAGAGCGAATGCGTTGGTTGACTCCAGTTTCGCAGACAGACCCTTACTTAGACCTATAAACAGTGGTGATACATATTCGAAGTGAGGGAGAATGAAAGCTTTGTACAATTTAATCAACACATCTAAGGGTATAAATTTACGAATGCGACGGAGAATTGAAACTTTTGTGTTCACTTTGCGGCAAACTTCTTTAATGTGTACGTTGAAAAAGAGTGAATTGTCGATGACTACTCCAAGAAGCTTGATATGTGTAACGTAATCCAGTTCATTACTGTCAATAACAAAGGGCGTTGGTAAAGTTGCTCTGTTGAAAACAATGGATTGAGATTTACTATGATTGATCGCCAGAAAGTTCTCACAAAACCAGGAAGCGAGTAGACCAACGTTGTTTTGTAGATTTATTTGCAAGGTAGATGGACAAAGGTTTGAAGAGTACCCAGTAGTGTCATCGGCATAAAATCTTAAAGAGCACGAAATATCTGAAAAATTCACATCGTTCATATATATATTGAAGAGAAGGGGGCCCAAGATTGAGCCTTGAGGAACTCCACACCTCATAATTTGCCAATCCGACAAAATACTGTCAGTCTTGACATGTTGCTTACGGTCAGTCAAGTAAGAACGTAGAAGTTGTAAGGCGTCTTTAGTTACACCATAAGCTGACAGCTTTGCAAGAAGCAAATCATGATTGATAGAGTCAAATGCTTTGGAGAGATCTATAGTAATTGCTGCAGAGTGTTTGCTAGAGTCTAATTTTTTCTAATGTCTTCGAATGTCTTGAGAAGGGCTGTCGTACATGAGTGTCCTTTCAAGAAACCAGACAAATTCCCGCTGAGAAAGTCCAGAGAAACTCATAACTGATCAAAGATAACTCTTTCCGCTACCTTTGAAACAGCCGATAATACAGATACAGGACGGTAATTAGATTTTAAAGTCTCAGTACCTTTTTTATAGATCGGGGAGACAATAGAGGTTTTCCAATCTGTAGGCCAGGAACCACTAACAATGCACTGGTTGATTAATTTTGTGAGAGAACTGAAAATTCTTGGCCCAGCAAGTTTCAGCAGGCGTGGAGAGATTCCGTCAGCACCGGTGGCTTTGTTGATTTTGATAGCAGAAAGTATCCTTTTGATATAGGAGTCCTGAACAGGAGTAAATGAGAAGCTCGTTTGTCTTTCAAACTTCCGTCCAATGGATACAACACTTGGATGTGTCATGAACTCTTCTGGCTGTAAGTTGGGCATGTGGCTAGCCGGTCTAGGTACTGCATTAATGAAATAATCATTTGGAAGATTGGCGATATCAGTACTATCAGTGATAAGGCGCCCGTCTTCAATCAGCTGAACATCGCTGTTACCTCTGTCTTTACTTGGGAGTAAACAATGAAATTTCTTCCAAAATTCCCCGGGTTGTTCGGAGTCTGTGGATACATTAATGCAGTATGACTTGAGGGAAGAACGTTGGCATGAAAGTGGCTTCTTTGCGTTAATCCAATATCCTTTGCCACTTTCTTTTCTTGGCGAAATTGAACAACAAGATCGCTTGGGTCGTATCCATTTTCAAAATGGAAATACATTTCAAAGGGCGCAAAGAGCAGCGTAAGTTCGTGACCTCGCTCCCTGTGGCTTGTCTGGGGGTCTGGTTCCCAGTCCATTGATGTTAGAGGTAAACTGCTCTAGCATTCCTCAGCCTTCGATCCGAATCTTTCAGTTCAGAAATGTAGTTTACAGATATGCCACGCACAACACGTTTTGCGTTTTTTTTTCCAGTTGCAATGGATTAAAAAAAAAAAATGAATCGCAGTGTCTCAGTGTAGTGTGCGTCACCGTCCCGTCTCTTTTTCCTCGCCTCCCCTTCTCCCGCCTCCCACGCCTCCCACGCCTCACACCTTAACTCCCCCCCCCCCCGACCCTACCTGGACAAAATGTTTCTACGTTTGGTTCTTTGATTAACAGAAAAACATGGCTTCCCCTCGATGCAATGGAGAAGTTTCACATTATCATGGCGAAAGGACATCAGCACTCATTATGCTGATTTCGTTAAAAGAATTTAGAAAGACTTCACATGGTTAGCCAACCCACAGTAAATAGCTGTTATGATATCTTTTGGCAGAAACACGAATTCACCTTCAAAAATGATCTTTAAAAATATACGTCCGTATACACAATTGTAAACACTTATGAGGAATACGGTAGTTTAATGCTATAACGAAATCATGTGCTAAACCTGACTACAGGACTGTCTAGAAAAGGACAAAAAAAAACTACCTTTAGAACAATTTTATGCCATAAAGAAACTAGTTGATAAAACTATTACTTAACATTAATTTCGTCAGGACAATGATATTTTAAGAAATAGTCTAGTATCATCGAGGTTGGACGACGATCGACGTCGCGTTTGACTTGTGGTTGATTTGCTATTTGATGTACAGTGACAGTACAACACAACTTAACGAATAAAGCGAAGATCTAGAGTTAGCAATTGACCGCGTTAAACCATTGCGCAATTTGCAGGACACTTTTGCAGAGTAGCACTGACTGCCTGTTTACCATTTCAACAACACAATCCGTTAAATCGCCTGAAATAATTACAACTTATAATTTTTTCTCAGTAATTCCGGCACGCGCTAATTCCGTTACGGGTGTGTCAATTTCGTTATTGCCTCAAGAAGGACGTATACTGATATATTTTACATGATATCATACATATCAGAAATTGGAAATTATGTGGCTCATATTCACTATTTCATGGATACCACCAAGATATGTATTGCCTAAACACTTTCAAGACAGATTTGTTAGGAGCATGTATATATATATGCTCAGTTAATGTGACTGCGTTCATAAGAGGCACTGTATAGCAAGGTTACACAATGAGATCCATTGCCATCTAAGAATGATAGGTGGTACATGGGTATATCTGCATGGCCATTTTTGTTGGATGGGTGATGGTTAAGCATGCAACGCTCAAAAAGCGTCACTTCAGTTCAGTAAGGATGGCCCGAATTGACAATGTACAGAAGAACAACGACCGAGTTCAGTATTTGGCTTATCAACTAGAGTATTCAAACCTAAGTTATAAAGTGCCTTATATATGCGATAATTAAAATACGGAGTTTATAAAGATATTCGAGGCACCCACTCCACATTTGCTAATATCTATTTATTTATCATTCCCCTTGGTACAGATGGACAAAGTTGACTAATGTTTTTGTTCGACAATAGTGGACCTCTCAAAACTGAGAACGGTGACTCATGGCCCGACATCTGTTCCACGCCTACAATTGTACCTCCAGTGAACTCCAATCCATACAAACATGATTTTCAATAATATCAGAATACAGAGTTTGTATGGGAGTCTAATAAAACGGAGTTTTGACTAGGTGGGTAAGTACAGCTGTCCACTTACGAGTGTCCGTTGAGGGAGCTTCGGCACCGATCAGCATATAAAATACGCCGTCTACACATGCTACGTATAATCCTAATAACGTAAAAACTGCAACAAATCACCACCGAGATGAAATTTGCCATCGGTGAGAATTTATTAAAACATATTGTGATGATTGGCCAGTCAGTATAATCCTACACAATGTATTGATATTTGTTGGGTTTTCCGAGAAGTTTACCCGCTATTGGCGCGCGCACATAAACAAAACAGAGGCTGTTTCTGTATGGTTTTGACAAGCGCCAGAGACAAAATGAGTTTTATTCATTATCAGATAATTCGCTGTCTGATGTCAGTTCCAACACAAAGGCCTCATCGTCCACGACTTCCTCCATCATCGATTTGTCTGATTTCTCGTCATCTAGGGGATAGTTGATACCACTCAAATTAGCAGAGGTTTTTGCTACCTCAGCATGATCAATAGGTTTAGGGGAATCCAAGATACCACCCCATAAAAGCAGCAGCGAGGAAATGTGATTACAATGGATCATCCGTTTCTTTTTAAGACACGCTATCACTCCTGCATTAAGAGGGTTATCAGTGTAAGGCAGATGCGCATCCACTGATTCGTCTATAAGCCTGATTTCGTTTTGGAGAAAAGAGACAAGGCGATTCATTTCCTCCTTCAACAGCTCAAGCTCTTCCTGACACCTGTTGTGTAAGCAGAAAAGGTCAATTATCTGCCTCCCAACAAGAGCAGGAACGGTGTCCCCTTCCTCTTGGACTTCAGAGTAAATGCTGCTCCTAGGATCCTTAGCATCGTCATAAAGAATTTGGGCTACATCATTGGGAAGATACCCATTTTTTTCGGACAAAGTTTTGTGGATGGACTTGACGACTTTGTCGATCTGCTTTGCGAGCATTATGGCAATTGCTTGGCCATCTGAAAATTAAAAAGTTCACAATAACTAAAAACGCAATGCAGTGGCAGTTTTACGGATTAGACGGAAAAATGTAAATGTGTAAGACTTGGGAACTGGGAAAATTTAGCCCTTGAGTCGCAGTTAAAAACAGCGGGCATACGCAGCAATGGCAGAACGGCAGAACGGAAGAACGGCAGAACGGCAGAACGGCAAAACGGCAGAACGGCAGAACGGCAGAACGGCAGAACGGCAGAACGGCGGAACGGCGGAACGGCGGAACGGCGGAACGGCGGAACGGCGGAACGGCGGAACGGCGGAACGGTGGAACGGCGGAACGGCGGAACGGCGGAACGGCGGAACGGCGGAGCGGCGGAACGGCGGAACCGCCGGAACGGCGGAGCGGCGGAGCGGCGGAGCGGCGGAACGGCAGAACGGTGGAACGGCGGAGCGGTGGAACAGTGGAACGGTGGAACGGCGGAACAGCAGAATGGCGGAAAATGACCCCAAATCCTAAAACATGGAACGGCGGAAAATGACCCCAAATCCTAAAACATGGAACGGCGGAAAATGACCCCAAATCCTAAACACGGAACGGATGTCAGGGCGTGTTGCATAAATTTTGTACAAAAACACTCAAGTGCTTGGCTCATTCATCCCCACCACGATAACGCGCGTGACTAAAATTAAGTGTTATTAATTTTTTTCCTTTTACCGAGTGTTATGAATAATAATGAACCATTATGCATGAAAGATAGCTGCGTTTTCGCGTTGTAAACCTGCTTAGTTACCTTTTGTTATGCAAAATTTGCTATGAGTTTTAGTCGCGGCATAAAAAGTCGCACAGCATGTGAAAACCAACTCGACATACCACATTACAATAAACAATTGTAACTTTGATACGTTTCCTGGTCACGTCTGCATTGATTTATTGAAACAATAATATCTCATATGCTTGTAAATGTGAGAACATCACAGGAACGTTTTCAAGCTTCTCAAAATATAACGACGTTCAGCCCCAGCTTCAAACTTAGACTAGCGTGAGAGCAAGCCCTCGTTACGAGCCCTTCAATACGAGCGTTTTTTCATCCACGAATAAGTTTTGGGACTTGAGAACACTAGGTGAAGAGAGGTTTGCAGGGTGTCACGCGCGTGGGAATTTCTCACGGCGTGAAAAGACAAAAGAAAGTTAGCAGATGGAAGCCGTCAAGGAGAATTTGAAGAATTTCTTCGCGACCAGGTGTCCAAAACACCACCATCTTACTGTGAAATTTACGGCTTACATATCAGCGGAAGAAATAAACTTTCTGGACAAAAAAGAGACTATTTCACCAATTCGTTCAGCGGATTTCTTCTGTTCCTCAACAAATTGCAAATCGTCGACTCTATGGCGTTTAAATTGCCCTTTCGGAAAGGGAAGTGTAATTCAGACAGATCTTTGGATTGTCATGGTTTACCATTATTCGAATGGAAGCAGTTGCGAGACAAAGAAGAGGCTATCGGTCGAGGATCCTATGGTTTGGTTTTTGTGGCGAGAAACAATTCTGAGAAGGTCGTTATCAAAAAACTGTTAGGTGAGGACGAGAAGGAAAAGCCTCTTTTCCTCAAAGAGGCAAAAATACTCCATGGGATTGAAAGTGAACATATCGTCAGGTTTCAAGCTGTGTGCATGGAACCGTGTGCAATGATGCTTGAATATTTGCTTTTCGACTTCGCTCCCTTCGGTAGCTCAGAAATTGTCAGCAGTCTGGACCGACTTTTACAATATATCCACATTAATATAATGAGGCAATCGACCAATTTCCACTTCAAGAAAAGATCGCCCTCGAAACGGTGATAGGGCTTGCACATTTGCATGAGCTTGGGATCGTCCACCGTGATATAAAGCCTGCCAATATACTGGTCTCCAACCAGCATTATTGCACTTTAAAAGACAGCCACGAAATTGAGAATGCTTTTCAAACTAGGCCGATAATTTGCAAGCTTGCTGATTTTGGAGAAAGCCGATCCGTGATTAATCAAACAAATAATGTGTGTCGCATGGTTACGAACAACCTTGCCCGTGGAACGCCCGCTTATCGTGCACCAGAAATATTTTGCCAGAACGGATCAGCTCTGTCCTTAGTAGACCTAAAGGCTGTGGATATCTGGGCCCTAGGGATGGTATTGTTCGTCATTATCAATCCGGACTTGAAGTACCCTTTTCAGATGGAGTTGGAAAGGGTTCAAACCGGAAATTGTCTATCTGTGTTAGAAGGGCTCATTTCTAAAAATGAGAAGCCGGCTCACTCGGATCACTATTGCATGCAACATGCAGTAAATTGCCTCCGACTTCGCAAATTATTTGAATATTGTACGCGTTTCCATCCGAAAGACAGGCCAGATGCAAAATACATAGTAGATGTCTTGACAAATGAAGACCTGTCAAACAGCAGAAACTTACCACTCACAGTCAACCAAGGAACCTGCATTGAGAATGCAACTAGCTCGTACGTTCCTGGTGATGGGACCAATGGCTGAGCATTTTTGTCCGTGGTTTTTGGCGATCACTTTCTGTGCCAAAATGAGAGGTCAACTGTCACCACATTTGAAGAAATTGCCTGCCTTACTGAGGAAGTCATCATCGATTCCCCTCTTCAATTCAATCCCTTGTGAGATAAAAGTCGGCATTACGACGTATCGGAGGCTTATGGAATTCTGCAGAAATATAAAGTGATAAAAGAGGAGTACGAATTCAGTGAGGAAATCCTTTCAAGCCATGGAGTTTACTCAGTGTGTGCCAGAGATGAGCTAAGAGCAGTTGTGTACCAACTTACAGCAAAAAGAGAGATGAGGCTTGCCTTCTATTCCTGCGGTGGGTACATCTTTACAATAGGATGGGCATTTGGATACCTATTTATTATGGACACACATGCCATATTCCATGAGCTCGGCGGTAACGGTAATGGTTTGGTAAAAGTTTTCCTTCAAGACGATAGGCAGTTAGCTGCTGAAGATCTGTGTGCGTGGGTATGGAAACGACTCAGTCAGAGTGGAGTTAAGAGCTGTGCTCAGCAGTCTGTTGCTGAGATGACGAAGTCCAGGTAATAGCGCTGAAAAACTAAAAGCTAACATCTACTTAACTGACCACACAAGTTGATTTGAAAAAAAAAAAAGCAGCGTCCAAATCTCCCACAAGTTCAGAATGTTTATATGGGTTAAGAAATGAATGTAAAGAGTGAGTAGACACACAGCTAAAGGTTTGTTTCTTTTTAGTCCCTTTTGTAGTCACAAGACAACTCTAAGTGAGGATATCAAAGTACCTTCAAGTAAGTAACATTTCATACCCTCCAGCTATCGAAATGAGGGAAAACTTTAATACATATGCTAATTCACTTGCTTGTGGCAGAAGATTAGAGAAGATCTATGGATCGGCTTCTTCAATTCTTCTTGTCACAAAGCGTTCGATTTTCCACACAGGTGTTGATGATGACTTGAAAGGAGAGGTATATTGTGTACAAGTATGTACTCTTTTTATAATGTGGTGCCAAGGTATAAAAAAAACCAAATAATTCTGGCTACACTTTCGACTAATTTTACCAGATATCGTGTAATGGTGCCCGTTAACCACCAGAATCCCTCTCCTCGTACGTAGAGTGAACTCAGCGGCTCTATCTTAATAACCTATAAATATACTACCATAGATGCTTATAGTAATTTGTTTCTGCTTAACTCTGTAGGGGAATGATTCCTCCCAATCACCCTCTAAATCTCCTGTGAAGAAAAAAGTGAAGAGGTATACTGTTTCCTCAATTACCATATGCTTTTACGTCTTTTATGCCAGTATGCTTTTTGACTTATTTTCTATGTGGCTTCCCAGGTATTAACCCGCCATCAAGGTGGAACAAGAATTTGGTAAAAGAAAGTTAAACCTTGACGTGTCCAGCTAAAGAGTCTTGTTAAAAAAAGAAATCACAAATGTCATCTTAAATGCATCAATTTAAAGAGATTCCTCATCCTCATTGTTCTTTGCTGTTTGTTACAGCCAATCCAGCAAAGTCCCAGATGTTATTTCCATAGACAGTTCTGAAGATGAGAATCAACATGATGCTAGTGTTTTAAGTGATAATGATGCAAACAGGTAATTAAGAACCACCTCTGCTTGTCTCTTCTAGTCTCTTGAATGGTCATAAGTTGGCACATGTACTTTCTGCAAAGTTCAAATGACTTTAGAGTGGGGTGGGTGGAAATATTTGAGTTTATTAAGTTGATTCACTTGTACAACGTACAAAGAACAAAATTACTCTAGTCGGGAAATCCATAGATTGCTTTATATTCTTCTTTAATTAAATCATTTCTTACCTTTTACTAACGACCCTGTTAATAATATGAACATCAATATTGTTTCTGTCAAATAACGCTAATTGATGATGAACGCTCCAGTGACATTTATTTTTTTTTAAATAAAGCACCAGCATTAAAGCTTCAGAGGAGGTTACCGTTGACAATTCTAAAGATGATGGTGTCGTAGAATATCAAAGTTGTGCGAGCATTTCTAGCGATATTGATGGAGACAGGTAATTTTCATAATTAATTAATAATTAATTAATAGGGAGCCTTCCGAAAAAATCGTCCCATGCATATTATATATCAATGAAAGGTTTATAAAGTACAGGTTATAAATTCCAAATAACAAAGTTCTCACAGTCTTTGTGTTGGTAGGTGTGCGCAAACCTTTAAACACAAAACTGACGGTGTTTGTTTAACTGAATTAACGGCCTCCACGTTAGCGCGGACATCCAAACAAACTGGAAAGATTTACTCAGCAGATACTAGGCCAACAAAGCGTGTGAGGATTTTCGACATTCCAATGAGTTCTTGTGAAAACAACTATTTTGAGGTTGAACAATATTACACCTTTCAATATATAAAGTTATTCGTTCGTTAAGATCGTGGTGTGTTCTGCAATAAGTTAAATGAAATGAAACCCGATTGACAGGGCGTTAGAATTGTAGACCTGGTTTTTGGTAATTGGTTAGGATATAGAAAGGGGCCTTAAAGTGTTATTTTCTGTAAGTGTGTTGTTTTGAAGATGATCCCCACTGTATTGGATTGGTTGGCTAGGGGATCTTTCACCCATACCAAACGCCCCAACCGAAAAATGCTAATATTTTTTATAATTATTTTTAGGGTTGAGTCTGACGATGACTACTCTGAAACATTTGTGAACGGTTCTGAATCCCAGGATCACAGTGAAGCTGCGTCTTTTTATCTTGGTGATAAACACATACCGGTTTATGCCTCAGAGATGAAGGAATTGTCAAACAGCGACATTGCACGGCTATTACTAGATCCTCCTGAAGATAAAGTCGCTTCGAAACCACCCGTAAAGTGTCAAGAAAACAAAATTTTCATCATTGATAAAAAGTCGCCGTATTTTCGAAACCCAGACGACTGGAAAGCAGATGGCCTTGGAGTCTACAAAAACGATGGAACTCATGTTGTTGCGTATTACGAGGACAAGAATCCGGAAATCCGCTGGATATCCAAAACAAAACCAGAAGATTGCAAACGCTCCACAGTTCTTCTCAAGAGAACGTACTGGACGCACGCACAACATCCTGATTTCCGCAGAAGAGCTTATGAAATACTCAGAAATGGTGGGCACAGCTTTACGCCCGAGCGATTCGTACTTTTACTCTACAGTTTCAGCGGAAAACCACATGCGATCACGACCAAACCACACAGCAATTCTAAGTCCGAGAAAGCTTTTACTCGCACCAAACCTGGAGTTTTGGAGAGCATCAAGGGAAAGGTGAAAGGTTCTGCTCCTCCGTCCAAAGTGTATGACGAAGTGTTTGAAGAGGCTGGGGGCCTACTCAAGGTTTGCAGTGTCT